TATAATAAGGGCCCCAAAAAGGGACCCTAATTTTGACAACCACCCACATGAGCACGGTCCTCGATTCGTACTACCGCAATACACTCCCAGGTCGTGTCACGAATTGCTTACTACGTCTCCCAGTGGCCCTTTTTCCTTTTGTGGTCTTCGGTTCCTTGTCAAACTACCCAGTAGCCAAGGTAGGTTACTGGGATCCTAGATGATTCAGCGGCTTTCATTGCCCTGCACTTCTTGAAACTGTCGACCGTCTTGTCGGTCTCGGGTTAACCCTCGTCTCGAAGTGCCGAAGACGTCTAGCAGTATGCCCTTACAGTCCCGAAATAGATCTATTAAAGTCAAAACACTCTCGAGACTGAGACTCTGTTCCAGTTAATAAGGTCCCTATGCTAAAACCCTAAACCCTAAACCCTAAACCCTAAATCCTAAACCCTAAACCCTAAACCCTAAACGCTAAACGCTAAACGCTAAACCCTAAACCCTAACCCTAAACCCTAAACCCTAAGCCCTAAACCCAAGGTTTCGGCTCCCAGACTCCGTGCCACAACGAGGCCATTTCACAATTGGGACTTCCTCGCTGCGGTTGGCAACTTCGCGAACTACGGCTACACGCCCTCGCCACGAGACGCTGCTCGTATGCATGATGCGATGTGAGCGGCATCATCCCACCGAACCTCCCTAAACCCTAAGCCCTAAGCCCTTAACGACGGCAAAATGCAGCGTTTTGGGAATTTGGGCGTAGCTCCGTGACAAGTCGTAAGTCCCAGACCCTAAACCGTAAACTCTTGACTGCCTCTACACCCTACCACCCTCAACCCTACACCAACTCAGCCATATGCACTCTATGCATGAAGCCTAAGCTCTTAGCTCAAACTCTAGCGTCTGGTCCTTCCTGATCTGGGTATTCTTCAGGGTTTAGGGTTTACTTTCGGACAAGATACCCCCAGGAAGCATTCGGAGAGCGGCTGCTGGATGACTGGTTCCAGCTTCCCGGCGAGAAGTCAGGGTTCAGGGTTTAGGGGTAAGGGTTTAGGGTTTAAGGTTTATGCATGCGGTCTCTCGGACAAGGTTTAGGGTTTAGGGGTTTAAGGTTCAGGGTTTAGGGGTTAGGGTTTTGGGTTAAGGGTTAAGGGTTTAGGGTTTAGGGGTTTGAGGTTCAGGGTTTAGGGTTTACGGTCGCTAAATTATTGGTCTTTGGGCTTGGGGGCGTTGTGACGGAATGGTTCTGCAAGGGAAACATGTTTATATAATCGCGTCTAGTATATGTTGTATGCACATCAAGGTTTACATCGTTCAAGCTCTCAAAAATCTAAAGTACAGGCCAGGCTGCAAACCCTACAAGTGTTGCGCTGTGACCCTTTCTAGTCTGGGGCAGACTCCTTAAAAAAAGGCGCATGCAATTGGAGCCGCAGCCGTTTGGAGGTTCATGGGTAGTGATAGGTTGGGCTATAAGTCCCCTACTATGGGGCATATCTGGAGGAAGCAACTCTACTTGTAACCCTCACTCGTAGCTACCCATGAGCCTCCAAGTAGACCCCCAAAGCTCCACACTGCCCCACACCCTAAACCCTGAACCAGAGACTCCCGCGAAGCCCCAGAGCCCTGTTCAGGGTTTAGGGTTTAGGGCTTAGGGTTCAGGGTTTAGGGCTTTGGGTTTGGGGTTTAGGGTTTAGAGCTTGCCTCTGGCGACAGGCTCCTTTCCAACGGAAGCCTCACCGAAGAGCGTGGATACCGAAAGGTTCAGGACATGCAGGGTCAGAATGTGCCTTGACTACTGATGGGTTGGGGTCAACAGTGTTGCTCCATGTAACCCCCCAAAACCAAAGCCCTGTGTAAGCTTGGTGTTGCAAGTCAGTGCTTTAAAAACAGCCGGTTGACAGCTGATGTGGTCATCTGAGATGAAGCCACGAAACCCCTAAACCCTTAACCCTTAAACCCTAACCCTAAAACCCTAAACCCTAGACCCTAAACCCTAGACCCTAAACCCTAAACCCCAAACCCTGATCCCTCTTTCATGCCTGGTTCGAGCTTCGTCGGCCATAGCTTCAAAAGGCCCGAGGCGCGTCTCCTTCCCTTACTGCTTTTTAGGGTTTAGGGTTTAGGGTCTAGAGTCTAGGGTCTAGGGTTTAGGGTTGGGGTTTAGGGTTTAGGGATTAATAGTACACTAAGCTCGAATTCCGAGCTTTTCGGGGTCCTTCCTGCCTCGCCCGAGCGATTGCAAGACTTTAGCGTGTAGCATATGGGGTAATACCAATCACCTGACGTCGATGGTTGAGGGTTTAGGGTTTAGGGTTGAATCTAGCCATATTCTAACTATAGTGTCAACAATCGGTATGAGGCGAAGCCCTAAAGCCCTACATCCAAAACCCGAAGGCCCTAAACCCTAAAACCCCCTAAGCCCGAAGCCCTAATCGCTACATCCAAAACCCTAAACCCCTAAGCCCCGAAGCCGCCGAAGCCCTAATCGCTGCATCCAAAACTCTAAATCCTAATGCCCTAAACCCAAAGCCGCCGAAGCCCTCAGCGCTACATCCAAAAAGTCGATATCAGGTGATTGGCTCCACCGTGGGCAGCACCAAGACGGACTGGCACTTCAACCACAAAATGGAGGCGGCCTTGGCGACTTTCTTAGGGTTTGGGGTATATAGGGTTTAGGGTTTAGGGGGTTTATGGGGTTCGGGTTTAGGGTTTAGGGGTTTATGGGGTTTAGGGTTTAGGGGTTTAGAGATTTGTGGGGTTTCGGGTTTAGGGGTTAGGGGTTTAGGGGGGGTTTAGGGTTTAGGGTCTATAGAAGCCAAAACAATTACGAACGTTATCCCTTAGGTTCCTTATTATAATCATACTCTCGAGGATAATATAGGCGCCTAAACAATTACCTANNGAAGCCTAAATAATTACCAATGTTATCGTTAGGGCCGTTAGGGTTCCTTCTTATAAGTACATTATGCAGGAGCCCAAAACCCTATTCTGATTGTTAATGCCGTAATATTACTTCGTGCTGGGATAGCTAGGCTTTGTGCAGGCTTTGGGGTTCAGGGGTGGGTGACCTTTTACCTTTTTGGTGTCAGTTTGGGAGTAGGGTTTACGGTGTAGGGCAGGTCCAGGGTTTAGGGGTAGAGCAGGTAGCCTTGAGCCTCTTTTGGGGGGCTCACAGGGCTTAGGGCTCAGGGGTAGGTACCCCTTAGTCTAGGACATTTTCAGGTGGATAGTTACCGTTGTAGGAGCCTTATAGACGGTCTTTATACCTTGTAGAAGCCCTATATACCCTAAACTCCCCACCTGTAGTTTCCTTTAACTTAGCCTTTTGGGGCTACTATAACACTTGAAAAATCCCAAAGATCAGCCTTTAGTTGCCGTGCAAGTAGGGCTAAGTCAAGGTCTCTTTCGGGGGTTCAGTCTCTTGCCATGACATGAAAACAGTGGATCAGAGGCCTGAGTCACATAGACCTGGACCCCAAACGTATGTAGGATAATAGCCGTTTAGAGGCTTTGGGCCATTATTGTACCTACTTTTGAGGGTTTAGGTACTGGCTTCACAACCTTAGTGGCTGAGTAGGTAACCTTTAACCTTTTGGGGCTCTTGTAATCCTACTATCATTCAAAAGGTTAACCTTTTTTGGGCTAGGGTCCTCAGCCCCTAAGCAACGCTTGGGGTTCCAAGTCTTCCGTGCTCATCAGCGCATCATCACAGGGCTTTCTTCGGTGATTGGAGAAATGAGGAGATCGAAGCTTTCTTGCGTCTTATGGGATGGCCATTACTATTCCTTAGGTTCCTTGTTATAATCATACGATAAAGGATAATATACCTAAACCCTAAACCCTGATACCCTAAACCCTAATACCCCAAACCCTAATAACCCAGGCCCTAAACCCTAGGGGGCCTTTGTAGTTACCTACTGCGACCACAGCCTCAATCTAGGACATTTTAGGTCTATATACCTTATGGAAGCCTTATAGAAGCCCTATATACCCTAAACTCCCCACCTGTAGTTTCCTTCAACTCAAGAAGTTCCTCACTTGGGGCGTCTGGAGCCTCCTGGGCACGAGGAGCCCGAGGTTCGCGAGGAGGCGGTGGGTCCCAACCAGGTTCCCAGTTTAGGGTTTTAGGGTTTAGGGGTTCGGGGTTGAGGGGTTTAGGGTTTAGGGTTTAGGGGTTTAGGGTTTAGGGTTTAGGGCAGTGTTTCCTGGCGCGGACTGCTTTGCAGCATCCACAGCGTTCTTCAGGCCATCACGACAGCTTTTGCAGAGAAGATGAACCCTGTCCATAACAGATCAGGGGTCCATCCAAGTGCACCGAAGCCCTAAACCCTAAGCCTTATAACCCTAAACCTTAAACCTCAAACCCTAAACCCTAAACTTTACGGTTCACGACACAGCCATGAGCCTTATGCCGCCTTAGATCTCGAAGCTCCTGGAGCCGGCCCATCGCAGCTCTAAGTGGCGCCCTCCATGGTGCCAGCATGCCTCAAGGATCCCGAAACCACAAAATCCCGATCCCCCGGAACCTTAAAAATTAAGCCTTAAACATCTTAAATGCCCTAAGCTAAGATTGCATGTTCAGGGTATTTTGTAGTAAGAGGTGCTCTGGAGTCTGTTTAGGGTTAAAGGTTTGATTTAGGGATTGAGGAAACCCCGCCGGGCTATCATGTGTAATACTATTCTTTCGGGCTCCTTATGAACGAAAGTATACCCAAACCCTAAACCCTAATTTTACGAAAGTATACCCCAAAGCCCTATTATACCAGGTCCTGAGGCCCCTATATTCTTGCTGCGGCGCCCTAAACATGTCAGTCTTTTGGCCCTCAACCCTATTCCCAAAACCCAGCCATGCTCCGAAACCCGACGATGAAGGCTCGGAAAAAAAAGTCATCGCGTTCCTTAGGCATTCCTTCGAGTTCCAAACGATTATTAGGGTTTAGGGTTGAGGGTCCATTGTCAGACTTAGTTAAAGCATAAAGAAAAGGCATCACTGCACAGACAAAGAGAAGTCTGGAAACATCAGGATGGTGTCGACTGCCCTTTCGCTTCGTGCTGCCCAGAGACTCCAAAACCCCTTAATTAAGGAATCTACTGTAAACCATAATAGGATCCCTAATATGGTTTAAGGTATATTCCTTAATTAAGGGGTTTTGGAGTCTCTGGGTGCCGAGGTCTGCACATTCTGGGAGTCGATCGGCGTGGATCAGCGATGGTGGTGGATCAATTGATTGATTCAGCTTGCTTAGCACAGGGGTCTGAGTATTTGCTGGTAGCGAAAATCTCCCATGATAATTGCAGGCCTTGCAATATCCCCCATCAAAGCCTTTTGTCTCGATCTATCAAGCCTCTTCAAGTCTCCGTAAGTAGGCCCAACCCCTCAACCCCAAAAAGCAACAAGCTTTCCTAGACCCAAAGTCTGAACTGTCATAGATCCTTGGCCCTCAACCGTAAGACCTTAAAACGTGAAAGCCACTAGCACCCTTACAGTACATCCAGGAAGGAACCCTGAAACCTTTAGGGTAAAGGCCCTAGCTCCCTCATGCCCGGACTTCTCGGACCAAGCATCGCAAGCGGTGACAAAGTGCGTCTGTGTCCACCCGGCTCGGGCTTGGGGGTTGGAGGGTTTAGGTCTGGGTGTTGGGATCGGCGTAGAACGGATATCCAAAGGCGTGTTAAGAGTCTTATTCTTGCTACAGGTCCGGAAAGGGGTTATAGGTATAGGTTGTTGAAGGTATTTGGTATCTTCTCCTGAACCTGCATATATGCAAGCGTGCAAGCTTGCATGCATGCGCACATGCAAGGATACATGGAATGCATGCATGGCTAGCTGGCTGGCTGGATAGATGGATGGTCGTATGCTTCCTGACTCACGAATGACTGGCTTACTGTAGAAGCCTTAATAATTACCTATATGACTCCTTGTCTGAAGGTTACCCTATCATATTCAATCGTAGACCCCTGTACTATTACATAGAGCCAAGGGACAGGCCTGAATCTTTTTTGGGGCCCCTTGCTGGCCGGACACGTGGATGCGGAGTCTTTTCGTTCGCGAATGAGAGCGGCAAAGATGATGAATCCGGTCCTGAGCGTCATCCTGACACTAATTTTAAAAATTGCCCCTATTTTATATCAGGCATCCTCCAAAAATTAGGGCTTAGGCACAGGGTTCAGGATGTAGAGTCTGGAGTACATGCGGTTTGTCGGGCCTATAGGGCTCAATTAGGGTCCGCTACTTGCAAGACAGACAGAAGTTTTACTCTTGTGCGCACAAACCCTAAACCCTAAACCCGAAGCCCCTGAACCCTAAACCCTTACTCCTAGACCCTCGGGTGCGCACAAACTCGCAGTGAGGTCATCGGCGGATCAGGCTATGTCGCCTGGCCGGGGCTCCCAGAAACGATGCTATTTTTAGGTTTTTTTGGGTTTAGGGTTTCTTGGTTCCCTAATACCCAACCTTTAAACTTTTTTGGGGATCTTATAATTTAGTAGCAATCTGAAGTGTGAACCTTTTGTTTCCTGGCTTATTGGGGAAGTAAGGTTTGGGGTGCTATAGAAGCCTGAACTGAACAGTTACCAGTATTAATATTAGGGCTCCTTATTTTTGCGTGTACTAGAATGTACCCCCAAACCCTATTCCGATGATTAAGGCTCTCATGTTACGGGGTCAGGGTTCGTTTAAAATCATGACTTAAGACGGGATCTTTCCGAGATGCCGCGAAGATGCTGGTTGTCAGAGCTCCAGAGTGCGAGCAAGTGTGGGTGTGGTTCAGAGATTAGCTTATGATATAGGAGCTTAACCAATTATCTATACTATTTTGGGGGGCTCCTTATTATAATTATAGTATCATATGCCCCAAAAACCCTATTGAAGTTGTTAAGGCCCCTATATTCTGGGCGCTTTTGGAATCAGGTTTCAGGGTGCTTTTGGGGTTTAGGATAGCCTGCAAACCTCTGAAAGGAAGCACATATACGCAGGGAATAGTTGAAACGAACGCTCAAAACATTCAAAACCCTAGAATCCCTAGAATCCTTAAATCCTTAATCCTAAACCCCAAACCCTAAACCCTCTTCTTTACTCGTAGAGTGGCAAGGCACTTGTTCGAGGTTTGGCCGTTCCCGTCCCCCAGTCTTAGAGTTGCTATTGTATTATAGTAGAGTATAGTATAATAGTATAGTACTGAATTATCGTATAGTATGGTATTAGAGTATAGTATTGCATTGTGAATTTGTGTAAGAGTTTTGTTGGAAAGAGACATGTCGAAATGCGAAACCATTTTGCTGCTTTGCTTCTTAAGGCGACCGTCCAAGCCCCCCAACCCAAACCCTAAACC